AATATAATATATATATATATATATATATATATATATATATAAAACTAGAGTTTGGCTTATTAAGCCAACAAAAATAATTTTTAATTGTAATAAATAAACACATTAACAAAGAGTGTTAAAGTCTTGACCGATACTAGTTAATTGTCATTAAATTCAAAGTCACTAAAGCCTGAACATATATAAAGGTACTAAAAATACATATTTAACGGCAATTACTAATTAATTAGCGCTAAAACTCATATTTGACGTAGTATTTAAGAGTTCAAATTCAAATAACAAGCACTACATTTTTTATTTCTTGAACCCCGTAATAAAAATTCTGAATCCGACACTGTTCTAATATGTTAGTTGTTGTAGGTTTAAGATAAAATCACATGTAGAAAGAGCATTTACCTCCAGGAAGAGCAGCAAGAAACATCAATGGCAAAGGATTGAATGAATACAAAAATGTCTCATTATTAGTAAAAGACATTTCTTCTTTTTCTAATCCAACTATTTTTACATCAACATTAATATCTTCACAATTCAACTTCTTGTAAGCTAAAAAAATCCTTCTTTTTGTTTCATTTTTCAAAGATTTATTGGAAAATTTGGAAGAAATAATTGGTTGATAATTAAGTAATGAAGAAAAAGGGTATTTTGTGAATGCAATTGGTGAAGCATTCACAATATTAGCCATTTGTGCAAAAAATAAATATAAAAATTTTCAAGAAAAAATAAAATTGGTTGTTGGACTATTTATTCAAGTTGTTGGAGATAAGAAAAAAATTGGGAAAGGCAAAGAAAGTGACACGACTATACATATAAATATAAAATGAAATATAATAAGATATTACACGTGGTGACCACAAGCACTAGCTACTTTACAAAAGTTATTTGGTTCTTTTTCATTATAAATGGACCAAGAACCAACCGGTCGTGACGTAATGATAAGTATTTTATCAATTTTACTCAAAAGTTTTAAATTTGAATTTTCGTAAATATTTAATTTTCTTTGTTAGGAATACGTTTTAGTTTAATTTCAATATAAATATCAAAATATTTTTGGTTTTTTTTGGAAGGGAGGAGCAGAGGGCATGGGTCACAGACTATCAAATTTTTAAGTCGATAAACTTTAGAAATAGAGATGACATAAGCCCAAGAGATAAATCTATCGAATCCCAAAGAAAACAGCAAGTATCATGAACTTACTTTACAGAACTTTTTGTAAATTTAACCATTTCAAAATCAATTATATCAGATGTTAAAATATCTCGAAAGTTTAGATTTTTCTTTTTTCGAAGTTTGATTTTACGATTGTACATGTAACTTAAATTCTACACAAAGTAACACATGCCACAAATCTGAATTCGTATCCAAATCTGGGTAGCGATGCCGTTTCCTAAATTAAAAAATAAATAAATATTATATATAGAGGCATAAATAAATAAAAAAATAATAAAAAAAAATCGAAAACTCACATTTAAAATTTCTAATTGAACGAAGATCTATCAGTTTAGTACTGATCCACCATTACAAATCAATGGAATCAAGTCTAATCTTTGAGCACCAACACTGATTTCATCATATTATAATCATAGTGATTCACCAATGTCTCTAAATCTGCCCGGAACTAGAATAACTTCTTAAACATGTATACTGACTTCATAGCTAAGGTCTCAACGGACGTTTGCATAAATTTTTGATAAAAATAACGTTAAGATTTTGAATCACCAAAAGAAATGGTAGACTAACACGTGAAAATTGACAAAATGAGGGGTTTACCAGCTCTAGGGCTCGTTTGACCTTGAAAAGAGATCGTTTAGGTTGTGGTGACCAACAAGCTCCATAGATAAGGTCTTAACGTACGTCTATGTAAATTTTTGGCAAAAAATGACATCGAATTCCGGATCAAAAATAAATAGTGGACTATAACATACAAAAATTGGAAAAATGAGGGATTACTCGCTCTAGCGCTCGTCTGACCTTGAAAATAGACTGTTTTCGCTGTGGTGACAAATTGACTCCATATATAAGGTCTTAACAGACGTCCATGTAAATTTTTGACAAAAATGACATTGGAATTTCGGATCACAAAAATAAATAGTGGACTATAACACACAAAAATTGGTAAAATGAGGGGTTTACCCACTCTAGCACTCGTCTGACCTTGAAAAATGGATTGTTTTGGCTGTGATGACAAATTGACTCCATATCTAAGGTTTTAATGGACAGACATGTAAATTTTCAAGAAAAATGACGTTGGAATTTTGGTTGACCAAGAAAGATGGTGGATTATAGCACATGAAAATTGACAAAAATGGGGGGTTTACGTACTTTGGGGCTTCTTTAACCTTTAAAATGGATCGTTTTGGCCGTGGTGACCAACTGACTTCATATCTATGCTTTTAGCGGACGTTCATGTAAATTTTCTGCAAAAATAACGTCGGAATTTCAGATCACCAAAAAAGATGGTGGACTATAGCACACAAAAACCGACAAAATGGGGGTTTACCTGCTCCAGAGCTCGTTTGACCTTGAAAATGGGTCATTTTGATTATGGTGGCCAACTGGATCCATAGATAAGGTCTTAATGGATGTCTGTGTAAATTTTTAGCAAAAATGATGTCAGAATTCCGGAAAACCATAAAAGATAGTGAACTATAGCACACAAAAATTAGCAAAATAGGGACTTACTTATCTGCGAATTGTTTGACCTTGAAAATGTGTCGTTTTGGCCGTGGTGACCAACTGGTTCTATAGCTAAGGTCTTGATAGACGTTCATCTAAGTTTTCGAGAAAAATGACGTTGGAATTCTGAATCAGTTAAAATGTCATAGACTATCACGAAAATCGATAAAAAAAGGGGTTTATCTGGGGCTTGTCTGACCATGAAAATAAACCATTTCGACCTTGGTGACCAACTGACTTCATACCTAAGGTCTTAATGGGTGTCCATGTAAATTTTCGACAAAAATGACATCGAAATCACCAAAAAAGATGGTTGATTAAAGCACACGAAAATTGGATCTTAAAATTGAGCCGTTTTGGCCATGGTGACCAACTAGACCCATAACTAAGATCTTAATGGACGTCCATGTAAATATTATAATATTTTGTAATACTTTTAACTACAAAAATCAATATAAAAGTAATTAGAAAATATTCAAAGTTAAGATAATATATTTAATCATTCGATAATATATTTGATCGTGTTTTTCTTTCTATTTCACTATTTATATGTAAACAAAAATGTGATTGATGCAGTCAAAGTTTAATAGTTTTTCAAATATAATTTAATAATATTAAGGACAAAAAAATAGGAACATGAATAAGAAGACACAGCTTAGGCGTATCGTTTGGTTTATTAATTTGACTTATTAGTTATTGACGTTAAGAAAAAACTTATATGAATCAAAACCAATAACTCATTATCGATACGGCCATAACTTTTTCAATAACTCTGTTGATTATGTCCCATGTACTATTTTGCCAATGTAGTTAAGAATAAAAACCTGAATATAATACCATATCTAAGAATGTTTATAATTACATAACTAACAAAATGCCTCATTAAAAATCAGCCCAAATAAGAGAATAATGGGATGTATGCTTTGTATATCTTCACCAATGTATTCATTTTTATTCACCTCAACTAACCTACCTGTGTCTGTAGTAGTCATCTATCAACTCGTAGTACATTATTGTGTATCGAACCTCTAGTAACAGACTCTCTTTGAGGATCAGTTGTCCAGCGGTCATCAACAACGAATTTTATCTGTACCAAATATAGTGTCATTGAACAATGTAAGACAGAGTTTATGAATATCATTGTATATGGACTACACAAAATCCAAGTTACTTGATTCAGAATACAACCATTGAGGCGACAAGTGACAACACACAGCAAGCTTTTAAATTCTATATTCTACAGTAGTTTGTAGATAATGTACCTCGTATATTCCTGGATACAGCCATAACACAGTTTTCCAAAGTCGAGGTTCCCTGAAAACCAGTGTATCATGTTATTCATAATAATAGGAGGCTGAGGCCAGTAGATATACAGAATAACTCTGCATTTGCATATAAATGATGACTCAAAAAGATAAGAATAGTTCAAATCTATCAGGGCAAATTATCAATTTGGACAGAGTTCTTGTTTCGGAAAAGGATACGCAACAAACAATGTGTTATTGAAGATTTGACAGAATAATAACCTCATGCCAATGGGATTTACGATAACTGATGATGCTTGGATATCATCGCCAATGGGATCTACGATATCTGATGATGATTGTATATCTTCGCCGATGGGATCTGGTGATTCTTGTGGATCCATTTTTATTTTATGATGCCACCCATTGAAGCTGCCAGCCACCTCAACATTTTCACCTTCTGCCCGATATTGGATTTCAACCTAATAGAAACAAATGTGCTAAATCAAAAACATTTTCCCCATCTGCACGGGTATTAGATAACAAATGTGCTAAATCAACAAGCATAAAAAAATTCACGAGAGATTGATTGAATACCTCCTTTAGTCCTGAGAGGCTATCTTCAGCAGCATTTAGCTCTGCATCTTTTTCTGAAATAAGTCTTTCCGCTTCCCTTATTTCTGTTTCAGCTTTGATTTGCAAAACTGATAGTAAGCGCTGAAAGTAGAAATATAAGAAAATTACACTTCTCCACTTCATGAAGAACCTTTTGTTCGTTTGAGTAATAATATGTTACAAGTATCAAAGAATTATGTTTAAAATTCTCGCAATCAAAATAATACATGACCATAATAGCTGAAGTGAATTATCAAAATATAACATCAATGATCATATCAGGTAGCATGAATAAACTAGTTCAACTCAAATGCTACCGAAGGTTCCCAAGGAAGAACAATCCAGTTTCTCTTATCCACTCGTCTTTTCGTAGTTTGTTGAGTTATGTTATTGTGTATAGGATTGTGTCATCAAAAAGTCAAGTCACACTTTGGTACATTACAAAATATATTGAGAAACTGAACATTGAGAGATCATAAGCCAATAGTTAAGATGATATAGAAGGATGTAAAATAAGTGGAAACGTCGCTGCAGCGCAGCGAAATGTGTCTTTTTCTATCATTTAAAAAAGGAAAATATCCATTACCATAGCAAGACAAATAGGGAGTTAGGTCTTCGTATTATTATCTTCTTTTCTTTTCCTGAAGATTGGGGAAGAGTAAAAAGGAAATTATACCTTTTCCTCTTCAATCTGCTGCTTCAATTGAGTTAACTCCAGCTCCTTCTGATGCTAAGAACAGCAACAAAACCATTTAAGACACTGGTATACTTGTGGGACATGTATATAAGAAATGTCTGAACAAAGAAAAATTGAAGCCAAGTAGGGTAAGCAAAATTTGAACTGTAAATTGTCCAAAGAGCAGTACCAGCACGAACTTGAGATGATTAATTTCAGCTTGAATCTCCATATTGTGGGGCTAACAGATAAAATATGAAGGCAAAGGAAATTCCAAGTCAAAAATGGAATCAAATAAAAAGCAAACAATCAGAACAAAGAATTTTGTCACCTCAGTATCAGCACTACTTATCCCTTCAGTCATGGTTAAGTATTCAGCTGACAGGCTATCATTCCTACAAAATTCAAGGTGCATTCAGATAACAGTAAGATGGAAAAAACCGAACAAAAAGCAACTTTAGATTTAATCTAATCTTAAATCTCAGAGCTAGTAAGATAATACAGTTCATAGACAAGAAGAGGACGGGAAATCTAAACTCTTCAAAGAAGAAAAGGTCATCAGCTTGTTGAGAGTACGTGGAAAAACATCAAGTTGGATTTGTTCGAGTTTTTAGCCAAAAACTTCTAAACATACCTAATACATCAAATCTAAACGACATCTTAACTATCAGATTTCATCCTGCTGCTAGTTTGTTTCGAAACCAACGGTCGTGACTCCTCCCATAGAGCTTCCCCCAACTTATGTGGAGTTGTAGCATAAAGGAGAAGCAAATACCTAGGAAAGCAGCTCTTGAGCTTTCAACTCTTTCTCTCTCCTCGGTGCTCATTCTTCCAAAATGATATAACTGTGAACATGCCTCATCGACCGGCGAAGGTGGTCATCAAAGAGGTGAATGATTCTGCAAAATTCTGGGACAAAGAACTTCACTGGGTTTTTGGTGAACACAGAAGGGGACTATAGAAGTATACTGAAGGTATTTATTTGATTCCTTGTTACTTTTACAGTTCATTTTTTCCTTCTGTCTTACACCAATTATCCTCTTTTAAATTATAACATTTCTTGGTGCCCTGAATTAGTTCTTGGTGTAAACCAACGAAACTACTTATTTCTGTATGAAGCAAAACTTGTGCACCATCCCTGTGCTCGCGTAAACCCGCAGTTTAGTTCTTCAATTTTTTATGGGAAAATGCACAAGTTCCCCCTCAAACTATGTCCGAAATCCCAGAGACACACTTATACTATACTAAGGTCCTATTACCCCCCTGAACTTATTTTATAAGTAATTTTCTACCCCTTTTCAACCTACGTGGCACTAGCTTGAAAAATAAGTCAATCAGCATTGGGCCCACAAGATGTGCCACGTAGGCCGAAAAGGGGTAGAAAATTATTAATCGAATAAGTTCAGGGGATAATAGGACCTTAGTATAGTTTAAGTGTGTCTCTGAGATTTCGGGTATAGGTTGAGGAGGTATACTTGTGCATTGTCCCATTTTTTATTGAAAAAGAAGAAATAAGATGATCACCAACCTATCATGTGCAGATCATGTTTCCCTCACAAAGACTCCAATTATTCCTTAAACCATAGTCCTTTTTTCCTTTCCCTCTTACTTCTACTTCCTAGTCAAACATTTTGCATTTGTATAACCGCAATATATTCTCAACCAAACTATCTTTATTGTTGCCAGAAAAAAATGTTCCAGAATTAGCATAGCTTTGAGGAAGTCAGGTGCTCTGCACCTTTTTCTGTTAGAGCCATTAACTTTTCAAAAGAAACTAACAGCAAGATGAAGCTGCAAAGTTCTGGATACTCCAAGGATGTCTTTTTGTTCACAAGAATAATTCAAGGATATAAGTTTAGGTTCAAGACATAGTTGAGGGATGTTTTTGGCCAAAGATTGATTTATTGAATCAACAAGAATAAGACGTAAAAGAAAGATTTATTAAATCAACAAGAATGAAACACAAAAAGAATTTTGACTTCACATTCATCCTGCATCAAATTTAAAAAAGTATGATACCGTATGCGGTCATCAAAAAAAAAGACCAGTATATTGATAAACACAATTGCAAAAAAACGAAGCAGGGTCAATGAAGAACCAAAGATGGTTTACTGAAGGCCCAGTGGAAAATGAAGAACTTAGTCAGATGGAAGCTTAAATATTGCAAGAAATGTATACCTCATCAGAGAACTCTGCATACTAGGATGTTCATCATGCTGGATTGATTGTGCAATGGGACTTCCACTCAATATCTTAGCACCATTCTGTCCTTCAATAGATCCCTCTCTTTGAAAGATTTCAAAGCCACTACCTGAAAAATGAAGCAAAAACAGAACAATTAGATTTACTCAAACACTTAGGATCTAATTCTAAAATCCAATATATTTACTCAAGCTGCTCACAGCACCAGAACTTGAAAGTTTGCTCAAGGCCTTAGCGAGTGGCATATATTAGTCACTGGAAACTAGCTTTTGAGGCAGAATGAAAAGCAGAAACAATATTGTTTTTGAAAAGTATGAACAACAGATCCAATATGCATCACAACTAATGTTGTTTTTCTTTTTTGAGAAGATCATCACAAATAATGTTAGTAGAGATATAATTATTACTCCATTATTTTTTAGAAAGGCAACCCGCAAATTAGTAGAGATATAGTTATTAGTTCAATGTTTTCACATTTGGCAAGGGGAAGATGCAAGTCTCAATGCCTCCAGTGTAGCTTTTTGCAGAAAATGAAATAAGGACGCGTGGATTTCCTACTATCTGTAACCTCTTGTGTGCTGAGATTTTGCCCATATAATAAAAAAAATGAAAAAAGAACATAGCTTAGATTGAGTTGCTAGATAATTTTGAATACAGGAGACTTGAAATGGTTAACACGGTATAAGCACTTACGAAAGTGCATGAAATATATGGGGCCAAATGGTAAGTGTGTAACATGGATGAATGGAGTGCTAAGTATTGTCACCATAAAGTACCTAAATTGGTGCAAGTAAACCCAGATAAGCAAGAGGAGAAGAGGATTACTTACCCTCTACGCCATCCAGGCTCCATTGTGAAAAACAATGACCAATTCAGGTACTTTAGTGCCAAGTATTGTCACCTAGATAAACAATTCATGTCATTTAACATAAGCACCCTGAAGTAGCATCACTTACCCTCTATGCTATCCAGTTCTCCATTCTGAATAAAATTGACCACCTTTTCCTCCAAGAAAGAATACCCCAAGAATTCTTGATCACCAGAATTTTGCTCATCCGAATTCAGAATCAAATCATTGCTTGCATCATTCGTGTAGGAATCCACTGCAGAAGCTTCACTTGGTAAAGAAACATCATGAGCCATGTCTGCTATTTTCCCATCTGACCTTTTAAATTAGCAGGTTGTCAACGGGAAAAATCCAAAATTAGCCTTGTTGTTACAACCTAGAATACACAGGGACAAGAACTGCTGACCTAACGATCCATCTTCACTTTTTTCAACAAGTCCATCCTCTCCAATGCACTCATAGGCTGGTTGTTTGGAAGTTAAAAGAAGCTCCTTGACAAATTTGTATCCTCTTCTTCTAACGATGTTTGCAAGGTCTTGCCTGCGGAATGTATGAGACAATCACATAGCTTGCAAAATGTTTCTAAAGATCTGGTTCTTAAAGACTCAAAATCCAAATTTCTTTGAAGAAATTTACATTTGAGCAGAAACTTTTGGAGTAACATTGATGTAAGAAATATGGTTGTTTCGCATGACTGTGTAACAGTTCATATAAGTAGAATCAAGCATCAAAAAGACATGAATTAATAAAGCACAAGTTCAAGAAACTTTCCATGCTTTTGTCCTAGCACCTTTTACATGCCCAGCACATGGCGAAAGAATAAGCTATTACCTTCATGTTATAAGATTCACTGATATTAGGTCATCAAAAAGAATTGAGTTCCATAAAATCCATTTATCTCCAAAAAAGGATAACCGGCACCTCTCAACAATTTGTCTTATTTCACTTGACCTCTCAGTAAGAGAAATTCTTTTTCATTGCTAATATTAGTTGGAGTTTGACATGAATTGGGTGCATTAGTCTATACATATAGCTTTTAAATAACTTCAGATCATTTTAGCTGTACCAATCTTAGCTGCAAAATAGTGCGGGGGGATGGAAAATGAAAACCAAGAACATAAATGGCATTCAAGTTCACCTTCCGTTCTGTGACAGCTCTTTCATGGTGGGTACGTGATCCTCCGGAAGTCCAACAGAAGATAAAAATTCTCTGATGTCGTTGCAGAGATCATCATTGCTTTTCACCTTCCGGCTTGCCCTAGACCCACCCAAAACAAGAAAAAGAACGTCAAACACCCATCTCAGTGAGATCAAGAATCAATATTTCAAGAAAAATACTCACATTAGTGCTACCAAGATTCTCTTAGCTAATAAGTCAGTATTGAGAATCCAACAGTAAACACGGTACAAATGAGACAGCTAGATAAAACTAAAATACAGTCAAATGGGTGATGTAAAAGAATCTGAATTATTATTGAAGCACTCACATCAGTGCATTCAATGATTTTCATAGCTAAAATTTCACTCTCAAAGACAAGCCACAACCAAAGCACAAACAAGAAAAAGAGAAAAAACTAAAATACACTTAGATGAGTGATTAAAATTAACCTGAACTTTGCAACTATCATAGTTAAACAGACTACAGGTGTTGCTATTAACCCCAACTCTAATGTTACTATTTAAAGTCACTCACAGTAGTGCATTCAAAGATTCTTGTAGCTAAAAAGTTAGTATTAGTAACTAAACTACAAACATAGTATCAATATCAAGAACCACAAATATTGTATTGTAGCTCAAGGGTATTAGCAACACTCCATAAGTTAATTACAAAGTTGCAAACTTGAAAGTTCAGTAGGCACTGCTATGTATTCTCTCTTCCTTTTATTGAATGAAAAAAAACAAACTTTGAAGAAAAATCACTTACATTAGTGCATTCAAAGACTCTTATAGCCAGTGGCGGAACAGTTCAAAATATGAAGTGAACACACAAAGAAGCCGAAGGGACATCTACTTTATACATATATGTAAAGTTTCTAACCATATATAAACAGTGTAACTTTCCGTCAAAGGGTATCACTATCAAGAATGAAACTACAAACACAATATCAGTATCAACAATCACAAACATTGTCCTGTAGCTCAGGGTAATCACAACACTCCACATTTTAAACACAAAGCTTCAAAACATGGATATCAGGGAGACCTCAATGCATTTTTCTATTGAAGCAAACAAAAAAAATAAACTTCATAGAAAATACACTCACATTAGTTCATTCATAGACTCTTACAGCTAAAAAGTCAGTATCAAGAACCAAAATATAAACACAGTATCAAGAACCACAAACATTGTATTGTAGCTTAATGCTAATAGCAACACTCAATAATTTAAGTACAAAGTTGCAAAATTGGAAGTCCAGAGGGACTATTATGTATTCTCTCTTTCTTTATTAAAGCAAAAATAGCCAAAATTTGAAGAAAAAAAATCATTCAGATCAGTGCATTCATAGACTCTTACAGCTAAAAATCCAGCATCAAGAACCAAACTACAAACATAGTATCATTATCAACAAACACAAACATTGTATTGTAGCTCAAAGGTAATAGCAACACTCCACAATTTAAGCAAAAAGCTAAAAAACATGGATAGCTCAGTGGGGATTTCAATGCATTCTCTATATCCCTAATAAAGCCCAAAAAAAACAAACTTTGAAGAAAAACACTAACATTAGCACATAAAAAAAACTCTTACAGCCAAAAATCCAGCATCAAGAACCAAACTACAAACATAGTATCATTATCAAAAAACACAAACATTGTATTGTTGCTCAAAGGGAATAGCAACACTCCACAATTTAAGCACAAAGCTACAAAACATGGATAGCTCAGGGGGGATTTCAATGCATTCTCTAATTCCCTAATAAAGCCGGAAAAAAAAAACTTTGAAGAAAAAACACTCACATTAGCACATTCAAAAACTCTTACAGGTAAAAATCCAGCATGAAGAACCAAACTACAAACACAGTATCATTATCAATAAACACAAACATTGTATTGTAGCTCAAAGGGATAGCAACACTCCACAATTTAAGCACAAAGCCACAAAACATGGATAGCTCAGGGGGGATTTCAATGCAATCTCTATTTCCCTAATAAAGTCCCAAAAAAACCAAACTTTGAAGAAAAAAACTAACATTAGCACATACAAAAACTCTTACAGCTAAAAATCCAGCATCAAGAACCAAACTACAAACACAGTGTCATTATCAACAAACACAAACATTGTATTGTAGCTCAAAGGTAATAGCAACACTCCACAATTTAAGCACAAAGCTACAAAACATGGATAGCTCAGGGGGGGATTTCAATGTATTCTCTATTTCCCTAATAAATCCCCAAAAAAAACCAAACTTTGAAGAAAAACACTCGCATTAGCTCATTCAAAAACTCTTACAGCTAAAAACAATCAGTATCAAGAACCACAAACATTGTACAGAAACATAGATAAACCCATAATAAACCCAAAAGGGTAACTCAAACGAACCTGGATTTCTTAATTGAAGCATAAATTTTTGATTTTGAACGACAAATTAGAAAAAAATGATGATTGTGGCGTATACAGATAGAAGGGCTAAGAGTCTGAGAAGGCAAAAAGAGCTTATGGGAAGTGGGAAAATGGAAAAGAGACGCCATTAGAGAACAGAGAAAGCAATTCTCGAGATGGGTTTTGCAGCATTTGAGAATTTGGGGGATTTTTTTGAAGCAAAATTGAAGAAGAAGCTATTCAAGAAGAACAAAATTATGAGAAGATGACAAGTTCTTTTTCCTCTTTGGAATACTGCATTTTTTTTTCTATTTTAGCAAAGAATGTGGTTGTCAATTATGGTTTGTTATCCTTTTAGGTTCGATATTCGATACTCGTATTTAAAACGTGAGAAAATTATTTATATCTTTTTATATTATAGTTATTGTAACGTTTTTGTAAGTTGTTTTTGTGATTCAATCGTCATATTATTTGTTATTATATAATGTTCTAATATTAATTGTTGTTTAATAATCATACTTATTTTACTTCTTTTTTATAAGATGATTTTGATTGTTGAGAATCTATCGAAAAAATAAATATGATTGTTATTGAAGTTCGATTAATGCATAAATAACGGATTTCAACCATATATTGCTAAAATTGAGGCAAAAATGTTTAGCTGAACTTTAATTATATGCATTTAAATTGAATTGTCACATTTAACCACGTATGAAAAAGTCAAGCGAAAATAGTTAAATTTTATCTTTATACGCTTAGAAATTTTAAGGAGAAATGGTTGGATCATATACATTGTCTAAATTTCAATCATATAAAAGTTTAAACATCGTATATCGTATATCCGAAGTGAATAAACTTACAAATTTTAAGCACTAAAACCATATGACTTGATAGCATATTTTTTGTCTTTACATATATTGGCCACAAGTTAGATAATTTCAGAATAAATTGGTTATATCTTAAATAGTAGGGACAAAAAGTGGCTAATAACTCAATATATCGTAGTGTAAACAAGCTGGTAATAGCCCAGGCCCATATATAGGTCATATATATTGGGCCGATATGCAATTGGGCCAATTTGTACATAACGTTTCATCATTTATCGTTTTTTAAGATCAATTTAACTAATTTTCGAAGTTAAATTGGTTAGATTAATTTTATTTTTTCAAAACTAAAATTTAAATATTTAAAAATTACATGAAAAATAATTTAAAGAGTAAAATTTTTTCTCATATCGGTATAATTCTAAAATATTGAATAAAGTCTATGTAATTTAAATATTGAAAAAGAGAAATGACACGTAATTCGATTTTTGTTTCTTTAAAGATAAGATATTGGTTTGAAAAATTATGTTCATTCTTTAGCTCCTATTTTTACCTAAAAGTTGTTAATCTAATAAACATTTATTAAACAAAAAAATCATAAAAAAATGTTCTAGAAACTAAATATAAAGTCAATGTCCGTTGAATTTTGGATGAAGCCAAAAGTAATAAATAATATTGAAAGGTTAACCTAATTATCTAGAGAGGAGACTTTTGTTTCAGTAATTATGTTTCGATTAATTTGTACTTATATTGCGTAAAATTTACTATATAACGAACACTTTTTATTATAATTCAAGTTTCTTACCTTTAATGATAGTTTTCATATATATAATAAATCTTAAACACTATCAAATAATTTTAACGAAATTTTCGATTTCATCGCGAAAATATTCTCTCCTATGTGTGTATTTGTGCAAGTTTACTCTTTTTCTTCTTCTAAGGACACAATTTTCAAGCATAAGTAGCTAGGGTTCACACACTTATTTCAATTTGTTAAAATCATTTATTTAATTCACATATGATTTTTCTCCTACATCTAAATGTCAACTACCTTCTACCAAAATTTGTCCTACACAATTTTCTAGTTAAAAATTATATATTTAGTTAATACCTATGAACACAACCATAAATACTATAATTAAACACATTAAAATAAAATAATTATTAAAGTAAAAGAACCAAAGTCAAATTTGATATACTTTAAACATTATATTATAGTTATATATATATATATGTATATGTTAAAATCTTAACGTACCTCCACACGTAACATGTAGTTTGTTATTTTTTGTTTCATTCATCATTTTTCAATTCAAGATTCCATAGCAAAGAAGAGAGCCCCCCACCCCCACCCCCCACCAAAAGATAATAAGAAAAAGAAAGAGTCACATTCATGAAAATCAAACTTGTCTAACTTCACTAATAAGAATTTTTTACATGATTTTAATTTTTAATGACATAAATTATTGATTCAGAGATAGTATGATCTGAATCGAAAATAATAAGTCAGACAGAAATTCAAAATTTGTAGTTATTCTTGTGGTTGAATTTTGAGTGGCAAATAGAGACAAATTCAAGTTTTAAGTATTTAGAGTTCAGTAAGGTTCTAATCATTAATTCATTGTTCTATTTACTAAATTATTGATTTGCGATCGATTATTCATTGAAATTTCAATGTATTTTGCATATAATTATATGTTTACTTTAAAATTGTTGAATTCAGTTGAACTCATTAATTCATTGTTCTATTTACTAAAATATTGGTTTGGGATCAATTATTTGTTCAAATTTAATGTTTTTTGCATATAATTATATGTTTACTTTAAAATTATTGAATTTAGTTGAACTCATTAATTCATTGTTCTACTTGCTAAAATATTGATTTGGGATCAATTTTTTATTGAAATTTTAATGTATTTTGCATATAATTATATGTTCACTTTAAAATTATTAAATTCAGTTGAACTCATTAATTCATTGTTCTATTTACTAAAATATTGATTTGGGATCAATTATTCATTGAAAATTTTAATGTATTTTGCATATAATTATATGTTTACTTTAAAATTATTGAATTCAGTTGAACTTAAAAATGTCGTAACGCTACGTTCACTTTTGATTTCCGTGTATTATGCGTGTGTGATAACATTATGATTTTGCATTCATCACCAAGATTTGTATGAGCTAATTAGCTTCATTTGTTTATACATTTTTAATTTTGACCAATGTCTCTTCAACTTGAAATATTTTTAACCTTCATTTTCTAATTTAGTATTATTATACTACTTTTTTACTTTGAAAAAAACACAAATATGTCAAAAGAAGAGAGAAAATATTCCCATAAATCAAACCCCAATTATAACCTAAACATTTGCTAATATATTGCACAATTATTTTTCTAATAAAACGGTACCTTGTCATCTAACGTTTGCAATAATTTTAGACAATAATTAAGTGTATCTCATAAAAAAAGTATTTACTAAAAAAAATTAAATCGTAATTTAAAAAAACTCATAAGTTACAAAGAAAAGAATCACAAAAAAAATATAGTACGTAAAATTCGTTATGAATGGACGTACATAAAAAGTTTGGTATAAGTTTGTTTAAGAATACAAAACAATAATCAGATTAAAAAATATATATTTATAAATATTTTTGTTAGGTAATATAACTTTAACTAACATGCTCAAAGGTCCAATAATAATTAAGTAATATATTTATAAATATTTTATAATCTTTTTGCCCTTTTTAATTAATTGTTATTATTAGCAGCAATTATAGGTGGTTTTGGATATATAGCTTACAACCAACCTATGTATAAAGTTATTAATTATTACCATAAAGTGGGAATAATATGAAATATTGTATGAACATAAAGAAATTCCATTTATTTAGTAAAATTTTCATGCATTCTCATTAGATTTATTACATATCATTGACATTTTTTTAAATAGATTTCTAAATGTATATCGACATTAATTCGCCAAATTAGGTCGCTATTTGATTAACTTCGAATTTTAGGTATTGAGTCATATTTGAGTGTTGTAAAAATTTTCATCGCGAATTTGAATTTAACAGACTCCTAATGTGGCACCAAATATCATATGGAAAATACAAAAAATTATTTAAAACTGTATAATATGATATACTGCTTATGTAATAGAATTTTAGATCATGATTTTAACATTTTCTCATAAAAATTTGATTTGAATAATTCTTAAACCAAATATATAATATATCATAGTAGATAACGTAACTATAACCATATATATAAATATAAATCTACTAGAAATAACATCATTTCTAAGTAAATTTATCCATTCTTAATGTAAAAACCAAATATATTTATTGAAATTTTACACAAAATATTAAAAAAATTTATATTTGAAATAAAAAGACAAAACTTATCAAGAGATTTTGACCTCCTCCACCGATTAATAATTGACTAATTTATATTATTAATCGATCTTTATCACATGAAAGGTTTGATTAATTAAAATAATTAAATTAAACAATCAGTGTTTATGAAGCTTTTCATAATTGTCCAATAATAGTAGCAACAGCTAATAAAAAATATTAGCAGTACAAATTGAGGTCAAAATTAAGCTCCTAGCTATAAATGTCAATATTTTTATTAATTATATTATAACCTATAGATGGGACCCTAAAATAATAAAATAAAATAATAATAATAATCCCCCCCCCCCCTTAAATTTTATTATAGTTGGCCACACTATAATATAGAAAAAGTTATTACTCTTGAAACAATTTTAAATTTTTATTAGGGATAACTATAGCTTTTGTCCCTTGATTATTGATGAATTTTGGTATTAATCTCTTTAAACAGTAAATATATATACATAACTATATACGATTTTGATTTAAAATAAATAGTATTATATTTATAAAATACGTGAGAGATGGTATATAAGTAAGCAGATCTTACATATTAATGACACATTTAAAAGTCGTACAGATTTAAATACTAAATAAACAATATCAATAACGGATTGAATCGTTACACTATATCACCCTAAATATAAGTAACAGTATAAATTTTACATAACACGACGATAACATTAAATGATTATTAAAAATTAAATGTGCTTAATCAAAAATTAAAATTAGAATTTGTCGATATTTGAGAACTAAAGTGATAATATCCTCCTCCCTTTTTTTTTAATATGTCGAGTATGCATATTTTATTGGTTTTTCACATTCATAATAATATCATTGACATTATTTTATTTTAATCTAATCTTAATTGGTGTCTAATTCAAATCTAATGGTCCCACAATGACAATTATATCCTTAATATAGTCTCCTCCAAGTCAATTAATATCTTTTATCTAATGTAAATTTAGGCATACCTCAAAACAAAATTACCAATCAATATAATATGAAATATGGTTTAATATATCAAATTAATAAATACATAATATACTTTACCTTTTTCCTCTTAGTAATTTAATCACATAATAATGTCATTAACTTAAATATATGGTTTTAAATTTTAATATATGATTCGAATCCAATATATACAACTTATTCTAATATGAATCATATATTGTAATTATAATATAGTGAACGTATTATAGAACCTTGGAGTTTATAATATTATATGACATATTATAAATTGATTGATGGCTACATGATAACACATTTTAATAAAATATTTAAATTAGACTAATCAAATTAATTTTTTAAACTTTCACTTGTATTTGTTTTACTTTTTATTTGAAGTCTTTGACTATAGGGAAGAAAAGTCATCAACGTTTGTATAATTACACACTATAGTGGAGAAGGTTGAAAAATGAGACATTGATTCAAATCTTAAATGGTTAATTTCATATTTAGCGTCGATATGACTTTTATCTAAATAATCAACTGTTTAAATTTACGAAATAATTATCATATCTTTATCATGTCAATTGTGCTATGTAATGTATAGTATATATAATTTTTTGAAAAATATTTTTTTTATATTGTTTTTTTGTTGACATTTGAATTTGATCCGTTCTTTTACTATTGTACATTTGATAGTAGCTAGCACTCTTGATCAAAAGTGTATATTTTTTTAATTAATTAAATATTAAAATATTTGATTAAGATAAAAACTTATCATTAATTGAGGGACCAAAAATGATAATAATCTGTACTACAAAGTCCATAGATTTCATATTTAATCTAAACGACGATTTTTCAGATTCACAAAAATTATATTTTTTTAAAAAAATTATACGTTATTTTTCTTTTATTGACGTTTAATTAATTCTTTTCTACCGTACATTAATTATACATGAAAGAAAAAAGAGATCATTATTTTTGTACTATATCCTACTACTATATATTCACATGATTTGTGGTACAAAATTAAACTTCTAATGTGGACCATTGTGACTTTTTCTTGGTTCAATTTTGACTGATTCTTGTGACATTAATTAACAAT